GAGGACCAGAAACTACAAATGAGATGAAAACACAAGTATTTCATCATCCCTCTCGGTTATTTGAACCTTGTTTCTGATGCTGTTTGTGACTGTGCTTTTGTGTGAATGAAAATGTTTGTTTCCTCGGTTAAACACAAGTTTCTCATTCGAAACAGATCTTCAGCTCGGTGGCATAACTTAACTGGTCTGACCTTACTTGACTTTGCTCACCAATAACTGTATGTTACCTGGGTATGAGATGTACAAGCATAGCGCCGTCTGAATCCAGGGTCGCAGCTTGTGTCTTCAAGGCAGAAACTGGCCTTGTGTCCCTCGGCCACTTTACGTCCAGTGATGACATCCAGCAGGTCATAGCTACTGAAAGCGTCCATGCTGTGGTAGTGTCTGAAGGTGAAGAGTAGATTGAATAGAACAGAATATTCTTATGCCAAAGTCCATGAATGCTTTTAAGACCACAGCTTTATTGTCTTGAATACATTTTGAGGGTGTGATGCCTGTTATATAAGATCTGAGCTGAACCAGCTGCTAATAACAACAATTTGAATGATGTAAGATCTTGTTATTTTGTGTCAGCCTGTCTAAACTCACTGGTGGCAGCTGTGCCAGTCCCACTGATGTCTCGGCTTGACAGGGAGGAAGTCGGTGGTGCCTTGGTTCTTCACTTTCTGGGGGAACCGCAGGAGGACTCTGAAGTCAATGTCTCGCACGGCGGGTCCATCAGCTGACCTTGGATGGATCACAGGGGGAAATGAATATAAGCAGTGTTGGACAGTGCTACTGGCTGAGCTCCTGGGGCTAGTTTTCTTAAAAGTAACAGAGCGCAAAGGGTTTGCTTTTGGGAAGACCAACCCAGAACATTTATGTCTTGGCAGTTGGTGGCATGTTGGAGAATCACTGCACCATAATAAAAATCAAAGTATGAAGTAAATATCTCAAAATTGTACCTGAGTAAATGTATTTAGTTACTTTCCACTTCTGGTACTGAGATAATTTAACACCAAAACAACAAAACCATGTCCTCAGACTGGTACATTTAACTTTCAACAAGCAATAAAACAAAGGAAGTGTGTGTGTGTGTCTGTCTGCCTCTGTGTCTATGTGTTTCTGTGTGTGTACTGAAGAAATGGCACCACAGACTACCTGGCCAGACAGTTCTCTTCAGCTGCACACCGGAGTGCATACATCTGCATGCGCTGGATATAAGCACCTGCTTGGATGGCATATGGGTCTGGCACAAGGTCTGGCAGTCCTGCAAGAGGAGATTAAAGGGACAATTCAGTTGTTTTGTTTTTGTTTGTTTTTATAATTATGAGATCTTAATGGTGCCATTTTACCAATCTTAAGAAGGCAGAGCTCATTCCATATTATTAGGACTATTAACTCACCATTTTGGAAATATCTTGTTCCATAACCTGTGCCAGGCGGGCGGCGCGCTACTGACCTCGGTCTTGTGGGATACAAGTTGTAGAAGACGTGGTTTTTTAACGGGTTTCCAGGGTCGTCGTTAACCATGTCATCTCCATTCGTAGCTGCGTAATTTGAAACATCCTCCGTAAGAACGGGTGATGGAGCAAGGGAGCCAGAGTCTCTCTCCAAAATTCTGGGATTTCGAGATGTGGAGTAATCTGTCCGTGCTGGCTCTCTGGAGACAGCTCTTGCCTGTAACGTTTGGTATTGCGCACCGGGCCCCGGTTCTCCTTCTCTGGTGTGTAGTGCAGTAGTAGCCACGCTGACACCTCCTCTGCTGCCTGAGAGATCTGTCAGACTTCCCGGCGCAGAGGCGTTGATGCTGTTGGTGGGTTCAGGGTTAAAGCGTCGTGCGCCTGGAAAACCTGCAGCTCTAGCTCCATGTGAGTGCTGGGGCGGCGGTCTGGACCCTAACGCACGAGCGTTAACAGAAACAAACTGTCTACCATCGTGTTCAGGTGTAAAAGATCCTCGCTCTACACCTTGACCACTTCTAAAGTGTCTAGACTCACCTTGTCCGGTTCTTACATGCATCGCTTCGCTATGCACATGAGTCCTGGTGCCATCTCCCCTGCTGCTCAAATAAACCCTCGACTGGCTTCTTGACCGAGCTGCAGCCTGGTACTCTGACCCAGTACTCATTAGACTATAAACCTGCCCGTTGCTCTCCCACTGAATTCGGTGTCGCCAGGGGCCAGCCGTGCGCTGCTGTTGCTGCCCAAAGATGAAAGGAAATAGTCCTTGGAAGAAGTATAAAAATAAAAGTGACCATTTTGCCATGGCAGTAAAACAGAAAAAGTTAAATAGCTCTTGTAAGCCAATCAAACATTAATTTATGACACGAATTGCGCCCACAAATGCTTTGTGAGAAATGGATGAAAAGGAGGAGTGCGCACTCAGTTTTAGTTCTCACACAGAACAACATATCAGTTCTCAGGAGGACTGAGAGGAGGGCCGAAACGTTTTTTTTTTCGTTTCATTTAACGAATTCTGCCCGGAAAGTCAAACTTTCTATCAAGAACATTTAACCCATACCTTGCAGTGGTTTAGTTCTGTTACACGAGATTTCCACAAGGAGGTTTGCCGAGTAAACATTACGCACAGGTGTTAACTGAAGTCATCTAAATATAACCGTTCAAAGTGGTTACTTTCAAGGACCAGTCCACCCAGTAGAAAAAAAGTCACTTGTAAATCAAAGTTAGTTTTAAATTGTACTTTCTTATCAGATTTCCATTGACGCATAAACAATACGGAAGAACACTCTTAATGAGAGTTGTTGCTGTAAATACCTGCCATTAGAAAACCTGAATAATATAATTATTTAGCTTATTTCTACGTCATTCCAGAGCCTGGGATGATTAGTTGACAACAGGTAGGTTATGGAAAAGCTGCACCACGGCCTCATGCAGGACTAGACCTCCACCAAAAGGCGGCAGCCTGCACCTGTGTGTTACCATCGTGCAGCCACTGCTACTCACAAGGAGCCTTTATCACTTGGCATCACTCCAGAGAGGATTTAAAACTTCAGGTCCATAAAAATGCTATTACAGTATTAACTTATTTATTTTTTTGGCTGCACAAGACAAGAACAAATTAACTAAGGTTAAGTATTGTTTTAATATGTTTTAATAGGAAACTCAACAATATAATCAAACAACGATTTCCTTTCATTTTAAAAAGCATTTAAGAAGCAGTAAAACTGGACCTGCGACCTTCAGACCTTTTATGTATTTTTATGATTGTATTATTATATAATGTTGTTTTGTTTCTGTAATTCGTAACCTAGCCTTTTATTCTTATGTCTTTAAAAAAAGAATAATTTACCTTAATTGTTGGCTGGTACTTTCACTTCATTCCTGTTTTTTTCTGACTGGATCTTTTTTATTATAATATAATATACGTATTTTAAATTTAATAGTACATTTCTTCCAAGTTCCAGTAGCTGCCAATTAAATTTTTAAACTACACTGATCTTCTTCAGTTATTTAATTGGTTGATTTATTCGTGATATTCTTTCAGAGTGGCTGTTGGTGATTCACCTCCAGTGTTTTCATTCATTTTTCAGTCACTTTGCACATCAGCTTTCATCCAGCCACTGACCGACACACTCTCTCCCACCCCTTTAAAACAAAAGAAACACACACTCAAGAAACACACACTCCATCGTTAATTAAGACTTTATTAGCACCATAACGAGGTTTGTAAAGTCGCAGCTCGGCTTCAAAGTTTAACCAATCTGTTACGTGTTACGTGCCAAAAGCGTCGTCTACAGTCTTTACGTGACTCAATGAGCGTAGCCTACAACTTACAATAAAACAAACAAACAAACAAACAAACGTGACTCACATCCTGTGGTTATCAACACTAGTTTAGAGATGTGAACAGGTGACTTAACACTGTGATCTTCCTCACAAGCTCGTTCATTTTTGGAATTTCTTTTAGCTGATGTTCTTACTGAAAATATGCGTAAAACGGTGCCTATGAGAATGTTTTGGCATGAAATGGGCTGTGAGCAGCAGTGAAATGATTACTGTACAGTGTTGGAAGAAATCTGTCAGGGATGTATTGAACATTTTGATTTGAAATCACTTTAATGTTTTGATGTGTTTACCGTTTGAAACAAGAAAGAACAAGGCAGGTTTAGGCACCAGAAAAAGTAATCTATGACAATACTTTGGATTTGCACTGAAGAGGAGGTTGGACCATTCTTTGTGCATTATCAGATTTTTTTTTCATTGTATAAAATAAAGTAAGACTTTAAGGACTGATTTACCTGTGAAAATGAGTTTGAACTGAACAATACAACATAATTTATCCTGCAAACTTATTAATAGTTGCCAGATAAATATAGTGGAGCAAAAGGTAAAATATTTGCCTCTGAAATGTAGTGGCATAGAAGTATAAGGTAGTTAAAAAAAAGATATACTCAAGTAAAAGTGAGGCTAATTTGTTGGCATACACAGAAGCAGGTCAAATAATAATTTAAACAATACACTCAACATGTAAAAAAATAAAGAAAAAAGTATAATCAAGAACTAAATGAATAGAAAACTACTATAAATAAGTGAAGAACAAACACAGTACAGGTACTTCAAAACAATAAGTACAGTGCAGTACTTGACAAAAAAATATACTTAGTTACTTTCTACCACTGGATGAAGCAGGCATCACGAATGATTACTGAGCACAGAAAGTGATAATGTGCAGCCTGGTGCATATTTCTTAGTGGCTTGGGTTTAGATATAAACAGAAATTAATAATTAAAATCATTAATATGACTGTGATCTGGCTCATTAGTACGATAAGGTACACACACTGAGTTTGCTACAGAGTACTGAAGCAGAGCTCAGAACTTGTCACCTCTCCGATCGACTATCACGGTGTGTATTTTCTCTGCCAAATACGGCATAAGGATGGAGAGTCTGCGTGCGTTTCTATTCGTGGCTACAGAAACCCTCCCCCGGTCCACATTCCAGCCCTGCCCTGCTCTGCTCTCTGCTGCAGACCAGATTTATAAGAGCCACAGATCCTCTGCACAGGTTTGGCACAAGACTTCCCGAGCAGGACATATAACCCACAAAATTTAGCCAAGTAAGTATGAACGTTGAATTGAGTCTTTCTTGTGTGTCTGACCTGGAAGTAAACAAATCACAACAAATGTTGCCACAAAAACTAATCTTTACTGTAAAGTGCTTGGAAATAAAATAAAGTTTCTGGTTGTTTTCATGGTGCATCTACAGCAGCAGCAGCACCAGCAGCGGCAGCAGCAGCAGCAGCAGATCTGTCCCCGTGCAAAAGACTAATTCTTTTACGCTTTGAATATATCTTATCTCATGAATCTAGGTATCCAGGCTTTGCTTCTTGTGAGATTTAACGAAGATGATGGTCTTAAAATGGTTTTACCACAAGAAAACTTCCCCACAAGGAATATACCTGTTGTCTTCCCCTGAGGCCTCACACTGCCAATCTGAGGAGTAAAATGATAAATCCAGAGGGTTTACCACAGCTCATGGGGAGACAATACAGGTGAGACACTGAAAGACTGCTTGACAAAAAAAATGAAAATGACTGACCTCTGCTATGGGTAGATATCTAATTTATGGATATTTAGTTCCTCCTGAAAGCAAAAATTGTGAATTCCTGAATAAAACTACATTGATTTTGCAGTGTAACCTGAATTAAAATAGAAATGTCTGATAGGTCATGTGACAACTGCAGGAGCGCAGACCATCAGGTTTCTTGTGACTCATATTTTGCTAATCTTTGATTAACCTCTGCCAGAGTAATCACAGTCAGCTCTGCTCACATTTCAGCCTTGAGCAACACATATCTTCACGTGACAAATTTGTCTTGATAGCACTTAATATGTGATTTATTGAAATAGGCTGAAAAGGACTTCTAATCAGCTGACCCTTAACTCAAATTGCAACACACATACACAATGTCTAATGTCAGTAGCAACAGTCTGTAGCTGTGAACTACATTTTTATAAAGTGTGTATTAACACTTTAAATACTGCCAAAAGTAAAGTATTACAACAAAATGAATTCATTTGTTCACATATGTTTGTCTCAGTGGGGCAGCCATAAATAATCCTGTCACTCAGTGGCATCACCACAACTGTTCACATGCCTCAGGGGTCCTCACTCACTCCCACGAGGGAGCTATGTGCAACTTGTGACAGCCGCTCACCTCCTGTGTCCCTGCCTTTCTACCCAAATATGGATGCCCCAGCTATAACTGTGGGGGTTACCATGGCGGTGGGTGACGTTGGAGCACATACCATCACCTTACCCACCCGGCGGTGGCGTGTGGGGGTTGACCCCTGAGTCAGACCAGGCTGGAGCATCAAGTGGGTGTGTAGCAATCAGTAACCGTCTGCACACTCGTTAAATATATTCCCCTGCCACCAAAGCACTTAAATATAAACTGACAGACCTGCTACTCTCTTTCCAAGCCAAGTGTTGGCATGTAAAAACTCCCAGAAACGCATCACAAGACCCCGGCACACCCTATGAGGTCTGCCAGGTGCCGAGACTGAGCTGCTCAGTCTTTTCTCAGAGAGCTGTACAGTGTGAAGGGATTTAACAAGCAGAGATTCACAAAAAGCCAGTAAGATGGACGGTGTAGCCTTGATTCTGTAGACTCATATTTATAAATCCTTTGATATCTGAGTCATCACTGCTGGTCAGACACAAGTCATTTGATTTACCCTTCATAAGTGATCCTGTTAGTCAGCTGCAGGCAGCGCACATAACACTCCATAAACAGCAATTCATTGGGTTTTTAATATTAAAATAGTGAGTTGTTTTCCCTCATCTCATTCCCAGGAACAATTTATTACCTGGTGGAATTCAAAAACTATTTAATGAAAGGGAAGGGGGATACAATTTAAGGGGTCAGTTAAATTTAAAAATTCATGTTATACGTACAACCAAAAAAAGATTCTGTATTTCCATAAGTGGTGTAAAACTATGGAATAATTTAAATGTAGACATAAAAAATAGTAATAGAATTGATGAGTTTAAACATAAATATAAAGGTATGTGTCAATCAAGATATATGCAAGAACAGGTTTAATGATTAACCAGATGGAACATTGTGGGTGTGGTGTATGAATGTTAACACTTTGTAATAATTCTTTAGTATATTACTTGTGTGGTGTAGAAGATAATTATTTAAGGATGTAATTATGTAAGAATGTTAACACTGTTATAATTTTTTAGTATAATACTTGTGTGGTGTAGAAGAGAATTATTTACTGCTTGCAAACCAATGATGGTAAGATGATGTCATGGGGTAGGACTGGATAAGTCTGACTTCTTCCTACTCCATTCAAGCATGTACTAGGTATAAGCAAATTGATATTGGATTATGTGTAAAATTATGTGTGTTGTCATATCAACTGTTTTTACATGCTTGAAAGAATAAATCAAATCAAATCAAATCAAATCAAATCTCTGTGTAGGTAGCATTAGCTGAGTGCTGAGCAACGTGGGTGACTTTTGAAAGGACATTTGATCTTTTGGAGAGACAGTAATCAGTCAAAAGTACCAGGAAGTCTCTCGCCATGTCTTGTTTAAGCTCAGTGTTGTAAAGTAACTGCATCCATTCACAGTTTTCATATGCTGGTTCCAATTTATGCTACTTCTGTTACATTTCAAAGGGAAATATTGTATGTTTTACTTCACCACACTTATTTGATTGTTATTACAGATTCTTGTCTTTCCAAATTAAAATCTTATGTAAAAACATATAAACTTGTAAAATATAATACACTGATAAAGAACAAACCAGTAGTTTACAGCCCTTTTGGCTTGTGAGGCTTTACAAAAAACGCAGTGTGTAGTTTCCTTGACACATTTCAAATGTCTGTGAGTTGTTAGTTGTTCCACCAAAGAAAGAGAATTACCTTGTGACCACGTGTAGGGGCCTGAGCTCTACAGCGGGTTGAGAGTTAAGAGGAATCAAATGCTGCGTATGCAATGCTGCATCAGTATTAAATAATGTATTAATCATTCATATGTGAGTCATAAGGGTCATTTTTCTGCAGAAACAATTTGTTTTTTAATACTTTAAGTACATTTTGCTGATAACTGTGTACTTTTACTTTGAAGGCAGGGCTTTTGTTGCAATGGTACTTTTACACAAACAAAAAAGACTGAAATGTCTTCCACCACTATAACAGTAACAGAAAAGAAATACAAATCCACATAGCTATAGGAAAGCATAGTCAGTAGGAAGAAAAATAAATCTAATGTTAATGGGTGTGTTGAAAAAGATATTTCCCCAGTACTGTTTAAAGAAGTATCACATAATTACTTTCTATAAGTGCTTTTGTGGTGCACACTGTGCTCCTCATAACTTTGCAAACCTTCCTTTCACAACCTATTTATAACTGGCACACTTGGCTTCTTCAGAGTGTCTTGACTCAGTACAAAAAAGTTCCTGATTGTTTTACATTTCTATACAGTTAGAAATGCTCAAACATTATTTTCATAGTTGTTCATCAGTATAACAATTCAATTTAATCTCCTTTTTTTTTATCCTGTAACCTGTGATAGTTTATCTGCTGTCTTTGAGAGGAAACACTGATTACAGTTTGTCAGCTGGTTTTAATAACAATAATCTTGACAGGGACAGGGACACTCACTCGAGAGCAGCCGGTTGTTATCAGTCATTCTCGATGTTATAAATAAATGTTTGCGTCCTAAACCTGAGGTTTGTGATTGTGAACAGAGTCGTTATGAGAACAATATGGGTTTAATGTGAAGTGTGTTAGAAAGAAAAACAGGAAACAAAGTTGGATTCAGCTGTTTCTTTAAACCACAAAACACAAATCCAGTGGACATTTTACTTTGAATGAGTTTAGATCTGTCCCTCATGTTAAACATGGGACGGTCCAGAGCTTTCTTATCTTTTAGAAAAGGTTACACAGGATCGTACAAAACACAGTGCCTCTGCTGTCAGTTCTTAATAAGTCACAGGATTAACTATTTACAAAGCAGGCTAGAAGTTCAGAACTGGTGTTACACATTTGCTCAAAATGATATTTACAAGTCTATACACAAATCCGATGTTGTCCCCGTCCTGCTGTTGAGAGACAGAAAAAAGGGAGAGGTTAAAGTACTGAATGAAACAATAATGCTCTTTTGGCAGCAGGGTGTTCTGGATGCTTTCATACACTTTGTTGTAGATATCATCCCTTGGTGTTGTCCCGTCAAGGTATTCTGTCCAGAGAAGGACAAATCAGGAGTGTTTGTTTAGTAGGAGAGAGGGGATGTGGTTTAAGAGACACATGAAGGGTCACTGATATTTTGTTTCAGAGGTGAAAAGTTGCCTTACTATACCTATGCTGTTGCAGTTGTTCTCCATCTCTTTCCTGTGTTTCAAGTACATGGGCCAGACATGGCCGTCGAACAGGCCAGGGGGGTCAGGGACTGTGTATGTCCTTGTACTGCAGAAACATAATCAATCAAGTCACATTACTGTGTTTATACTGCAACACAAGTGGAAGCTGTCACAGTCACTCGGAGAGCTCGTTACCTTCTCCTTCTTTTGCACTCCTCATAAGGAATGGAAAGGTAGACACATTTGTCATAGATGTCAATAAGAGGCCTGCAGAGGAGAACCAGAGGTCATGTTAGTCAAGAGCTTTAGAGGTCAAGAGGTCAGTATGTTAAATTTTAGAGCCTGTGTAAAAGAAACCGAGTGACCCACTTGTAGTTGTAGATGAGGAACCCCTCCACGATGAGAATATGAACCCCCTTCTGCTCTGAGCCGGAGTCCTCAGCTTCAGGTGACAGGCTGACCCCATGTGAGCGGGCAAACTTGACTGGGTTTTCCTGCCAGCCTTTCACAGTGCTGACCATAGCCTCCATGTCCAGAGCTGTGATCACTGATACAGAACAAGGAGAGAGGAGAGAAAAGCAGCCTTTACCACACATGCAACCAACACTACCCCACCAATGTGCTTTCACATACATTAGTCACGGTTAGTGAATGTCTGCAGCATTCACAGAATAGGTGATTGGTTACCAAACTGAAGAAATGTGCAGGAAAGAAGAAGTACATTACTGCATGGTTTTCCTATGCGAAATCCATTCTTACCATCCCACTGTCTAAAGCCGTCCTCCCCGACTTCTATTTGATCGGGTTTCTGAAATAACAGTCATCAACAAACATTGCTGCAACCTAGTAACCAGTCGGAGCTGATCACACCTGGACAGGGCAAGTCAAGAACTCATCTCCACTAAAAGTAGCGTACAGGGACTTTTTGTTGTTGTTGCGGTTTAAATATTTTTCCCAGAGTTAGGAGGGTGGTAATATTCGTTGATGCCTCACTTTGAGGAAGGATGTAACTTATAAACCATTTTAATAACTATGTCAAATTGTGGTTTTGACTGTGCAGCCCTAGTTGACCCACCCGCTGTCTCTCTGCAGAGGTAGAAAGAGCTGATATGAGGTGATGTAAAAAAACTAGTTGAGTTGTCAGTCATTCTTTGGTGACCCTGAATGCAGCACGGCAAGGCTGGTTGTGTTAGAAATACAGTGTTCTGGCTTCTTTTAAGCAAAATGAGATTAATACTCAAAAAGTTGGCTGCAGAATTTTCCAAGTGATTGAACAAAGACTGACTTTAAGTGGGGACGCTCGGCCCTTTTTATTGGCTGTCCAGGAGACAATCAGCCAGAGGTATTACTAGGCTACTGCCATGACAGGACATCTGTAGGTCAGACTGAAAGGTTATTTCTGAGAATAAATATCCTCAAGGGCAAAATTTACCATAGCAAATTAAGCACAAGCTCAACATTATTATATTAAAAATAGTTAAGTCAACATAGTGGATTTAACTGTCAATGCACAAAAGAACAATTACTTTAATTTCACCTACCTTGTAAAAGTCATCCTGATGCACAACACAACAGTTTGGTAATGTGCGCACTAGTCGGTCTGTCAAAGTTGTCTTCCCACCGTTGGTCACTCTGGAATTTTATGCCACATAAATGAGCCTTTGCAAATTTTTATTAACAGACTGGTAGGTAAATCAGTTGAATGAAACTTACCCTCCAATGCCAATGATGAACTTCATTTCTGCTTATTCTGTGTTGGTCACCTTTGGAATTCAGTAAATAAAAGAAGAGAACCCAGCCAAAGCAAACAGTCTATCAACGGCTACTTCTATAACCTTGTCCTCCTCCGCCACAGATGTTCCCTCTTTTACTACTTCATTGATAGACAATCTCCTTGCCAGGCATATAAAGGATTTAGCTACAGCGTCACAGCCACTCAAGCCAATCAATCCCCTTTTCAGCCAGCCAATGAACTGCCAATTTACAGCGGGCAGCACCAATGAGAGGGGGCCAACTCAGAAGCCTACATTTACATTAAAGTACATCACAAAAATTCCACCTGTTGTCAGGAGTCAGTGAACGCCTGCCAACCAAATGCACAACAAATCCCACAGCCAACAAAACATAATAGAGAAAAGGTGTTTTAAATCCTCTTACTGGACCATCTCTATCACAGCATACACACAAAAAAACAAAAATCATTGCTTGGCTTTTTAGAGGGAAATTTGTCCATGCTTAAACTGCTCTGGCTGGGTGAAAACCAGACATGCTATATTTAGTTGGCTGGTGTGTGTCAGGCTGCTGCGTCACACATATCTCTCATGCAGCCAGCAGGAGTAAATGGCAGCCATCCATGTGACCACAGTGTCTTGAACCATGACTATAGGGCTCATAAAACCGGTCGATTTCTTTGAACACAGTGCTTTTCAACCCGGGTGTTGTCTAACCTTGTGCTATTTTGTTTGTACGATATTTCGAGAAATTCCTATCTCTGTATAGTGTAGGTGTGAAGGAGTGAAGGAAGTGAACTTTGAGTCCAAGCTAATCGAGCATGTTGCGCCAGGGCTTTGTGTTTCATCAAAATGGTGATCTCAGTGCAAAATGAATGTGTGCTGACACCATATGATGATAGTACTTGTTCAACTCTTATATCAAAGTACTGGATGTGATGTAGTACAGTAGTCAGCTGTTGCATTCTGGAAAATAACAGAACACAGGGCACCAAACCATGTGGCTCAACATGTTGTGACCATATATTTTCTCCTGTCAGATGTTAAAAAACATTTATTTTTGACCAATATTGTGGTGAATTATTTTATTATTATTTTTTGTCACAGGTAGAATTTGTCAGTAATATTCTTTACTCAACTGATTAAAACTTTTCAAAAGTATGACTGGAGGCTAACCCACAAACTATCTACATTTCCAGGCTTAAAGACAAAGTGTGAAATATACCTGCAGAGACAACAATAAGAAAATTGGCACCACACTTGTGTTTGTTAGATGTATAGATCTTGAGTGAGGAGGCGATTAGCTAAGCTTAGGACCAGAAGTTGGCTGGTGCACTCTACACCAAAACTAATCAACATAATCTAAAGCAGTTATTGAATCTTTAAACAAACAGAAATGTAACTATTTCTGGATGATATGAGAATAGGAAGCCACTGACTGTAAAATTCATCAAGAAATACTTACTACACATAATTTTCTTGTACACAGACAGTATTTAACATTTCAATAATATTTTCTTGTTTAAATTTGTTATAACCTCATGTTCAACAGACAGACCTGTTTCAATTTCTGTGTTTTTGCTGAAATGCTGACATTTATCACAGGCTGAGTCATGTAAGAAGCAATTTGATTTAATACTTAAAGCTACAGTATGTAACTTGAGGTAGCTCCAAATCACTCCACTCTCCTCCGCCCAGCGCTCCCTCTCCCTGCTCCACTGTGTTCTACTATGTACAGTACTATCTACTGATCTGCTAAGCTCCACCACACTCTTGAGAATGAACACCTCTTGACCCAGCGGTAATAACTGAAAATCTCTGATTGCTAAGAAACGTGAATCTCACTGAAAGCCTTTCAGAAGCTAATATCTCTGCACTGCTGCCAGTGCTGCTCATTGAGTCTGGGTCACAGGAGGCTGCGACAGCACCTCTCCACATTAAGACACGTTTTGGAGCATATTTCAACAAAAATATTTTAAAAAGTCACACACTGTAGATTTAACTAAGTTCTCTTTTTGATGGATAAATCAGTAAATGATTGGACATATTGATTTTGCATAATCATCTTAAAATTTAATGGTACAAATGTCAAGGAACATACAGAAGTCAACAGTCTCTTTGGGGTTAACAGATTGCAGTGATGTTACAGGTTATTATAAGTTACTGCACATATCGTCCTAATACCTGGTGGTGCAGGGAACACAATAACCTCGCATATAAAAATAAAGAGGGATCACTTCAAGAGTAATAAGTCAAAATAGCCACTATGAGGAGCAGCGCTTGATGTTCTTTGCGAGATGATGAACATCAAGTGACTTGGCCAGCACACTTATAAATAAAAATTATGCCCCTTAATAAGTCATGAGAAACTGTCAAAAATACTCTGAACCGAACTGGAATTAGAGGCAAAAAAAGAAAGAAAAGCAGAGATATACATGGGTCACACTGTGTTTGTCTCAGACAGGTTGAATTGACAAGGTGACAAATCAAAAACTTTTTGTTCACTCATGTATTTTTATACAAACATAAAATGGCACATTTTCATAATACTTTAGCAATAAATTCTTTCTTTAAATGTATTTAATTTGTAACAATGTATGCTTTCTGTCTTGTAAAAGTACCTTTTAAAAACATGATGATGAATGGCTTCAAAACGGACAAAGACGAGTAACTGAGAGCGGGAGGATATAAACAAGAATGCCACCTGCATAGCAAAAGCTGCAACACACTCTCATCAGTAATATCTATTGTAAATCTACAAAGAACAATATCATTGCACATTGTTTTTCAGTAAACAGCCATGGAAGCAAATTATAACTCAATATCTGTGCAAACACCTTTATCAAAATATATATATACACAAGTATGTACACAATGTTCCCAGCTCTGCCAGAAGATGCTTGAGAGTTCATCCAAGTCCATAAATTTTAGTTTATATAGTTTGAGTCATGCTGTAGATAAGGCTCAACTTGACATGCAGGGCGCCGATACTTTCTGATTTAGCTGTATCTTGTTGGTGTAAATGACCTTTTAGTTAGAAGCAGGCAAGTTTCTGAGATATGATTGTCTTGCACCTAATGGATCTGCAGGGATTTAATCATGTGCAACAAGCGTATGATGAAGGCTCTCGATGCAATGAATGATTGTTCCCCACTGGTTCTTCAGTTAAAAGCTCTGTAATGCAAATGCAGAAAGTTTAATTGTTTGTCACCTTTATCCTGACAGTCTGAAATATACCAATTGTCATTTGCACATCTCCACAAATATAAAATTTGTTATATATTGCTTAAATTTGGCAGAGTGTCAGCAGGCATGCACTAGATCTAAACTAAATCCAGCTTGACACATATCAGGTTTGCCTATTTATTTTTCTCCTGCTTCCTCCGATGGTATTTGCTTAGGAGATTGCACTCATGTTCATTGCTGGGATGTCAGCCAGTTGTCCTGCTGATAGCTCCTTGGGGTGGAGGTAGGGTGTCTAAAAATAAGCCACCCTGCTCACCCTAACCCACCATGACCTGCTGTGGTGGGTATTTCCCACAGTTTCAAGACAGGCTGTGCGGTGCAGATCAATTTGCCAGACCTCAGGCCTTACAGCTCATTAAAAATAGAATCGATCAGTTCCGAACAGGCGGGCTTAAAGAGATGAGCAGCTGTGTTTTATGTAACGTGGTGCAACAGAGGGAATGTAGCACTGGAGGATCACCTAACAAGTTTTGGACTCGCGGTTTGAATTCAAAGAACTGAAACATTCCTTGGCAAATGTGAAAATGAGCTGGACATGATGACTGACAGTCATCACAGCAGTCTCCCAGTACTTGCTCAAGGGGGGATTTGTTGGGGTTTTTCTCTATTACAATAATAATAATAATATTAGTAAGGTCTAGACCTTACTTTGTAAAGTGTCCTGAGATGACTTTTGTTGTGACTCGGCTTTATACAAATAAAAATGGAATGGAATTGAATTGAATTATATTTTGTATTTCAGCCTTTGGTCCAGTGCTCTCAGTCTCAGAGACCAGAAGGAAACACATGGCCATTTGTTTAATTACTTTTTATTTCCATTCAAGGACACGAGTCCTGTGTAATGTGTATCATCAGGTCAAACTGTATAATTGATTGTAATTGAAGAAAGAGTTGTGCACTTTCTTCTAAGGCTGAACTTTCAGATGGGTTCAACTCTACAGCTTTGGATTTCATTTAATTTTTATTGTCCATACACTTCTTTACACTTCTTGGTGCCCCAGACACCAGACCTTTTGGACCTTTGTTCAGTGTCACCACACTAAGGCAAGCGATTGTCTAGCTTCCCTGTGATTTACTGTCCCATTTGCTCACTTAAGCATGTGTGTGCAGAAGAGAACCATTCCCCGTATGTGCAAGATTAGTTGCAGTGGGGTGATATTAAAAACCAGCCTGGATAAAGTTAATGGAGAGGTACTTAAGTCAATGAGAACACTTACCTTAATGTCAGATGTCATGGCCAACCTCTGCTATCATGGACTTTGGCCTGGAAGTGACAGATTAGAGTTAAGCCATAAGTACATCTAAATATTTTGCTTGGTCATCTAACCTATATTAGGTTGCGCTCTCTGTTGCCAAAACGAAGACACAGAAGCTCTTCTGGTAGCACACGGTGGCCCAACATTTGCCACCCGTCTACACATCCGTGTGGTTGTTCACACTCAGTTTCAATAGAAGTAAAATGCACAAATAAGTTTTTATATTGAGTTTGAAATAAACAAGGTGAAAGTGCATATAGTCATTATGTTGCCCACAGCTTCCATTACAACTTACATCTGCCCCAACTGTAGCCACTTTTAAAACTAAAGTAAAGACTGTTTTTTTTGTGTTGCTTTTAATGACTGTTTCTTAATTCCATCAAATATTGCAAAATACTTTTATTTTTCCTCCATTACCCAATAACTAACTGACTTCATTGTGCCGCTAACAGGTAGCTGACTGTATAAACACTGAGGTTTCAAATTTTCTGAAAGAAACTGTGTCCGCCTCTGGTGTAAACTGCTCAGGGGTTAGTCTTGGGAAGACTGAAGCAAAAGGATGCAAAAAATAGCAGTCTACCACAGCTCTACTAAAAGTACTAGGTATCTACTCATGCATATTGCTACTTGTACTGTCATGCATTTGTTGCTTTTAGGTAACATCTAACATTTTATATGATGTTTTAACTATATACTGTATTTTATGCATTGTACTGTTTAATTTTTCTGTGTGCATTTTGCATGCGTTTTAATGTTTTATCCATTTGAATTGCATATGACGATGCGCTATATAAATAAATTTGCCTTGCCTTAATTGACAACATGAAATAACTGAAATACCTACAGTTGCACTGTCTGTATACTGTATAAGTAAAATGGCTTCGATTTCTAGCGGCCACCACCAGTTTTAAATAAAGGAAAGATTTCTGAACATTTTCTATGTCAGCTGTTGTAGACCAACATTATATATATAAAATCACTAAATGGCACCGGACTGAGTCTGTTGCAAAATGAGGTCACCTTTCTTTAGGCAATGTTGAGCTGGTCTGCTGCTGGTCTTGCTCATGTCTGTTAGTAAGACAAAAAAATATGAATAATTCTGCTTATGGGCAGGATAAAGAGCATTAAAACTCTTAACATGAAATAACATGAAAAGCTATTGTTCACCTTTCCCTTTGCGTTCTTATTTTCTCTTCATTGTACCTTTAAAAAAAGAACAGAAATCCATGACTGATGTTCATCACCAGTATTAGGACAAGTGGTAAAATAGCTTTTTAGAAACTCTTGGTCTACTGTGTTCTGTATTGTTCTTGGACTTGGCTCTCATGGTTTTTAGTATCATGTAAACATGATTTGACATGCACATTACACTGGACTTGGCTCTCATGGTTTTTAGTATCTGATTACAGATACCTGCTGTTTCCCACAAAAAAATAAAGGCACCTACAGAGTGACTATTCCAACCACCTGGGTGCTGAACCCTCTCCATCATCTACTGGTTCATCTCTCCAAATATTTTAAAGCCCTGTGATAACAATACATTTCTAGCAACTTATATGTTTGCTAACAAATTATTCATAAACACTGTTTAGCTTAGATGATGTTTGATCACTGTACTGCAATATTTTTTCATGGTTTATTATCGTAAACATGTAATGCATAATATACTGTAATACGATAGAGCTGTATGGTGTCTTGACGGTGACCCCTGGTGGCCCAGAGTACTTACTGCAGCACACACTCAGGGATCTGCACATGCTCCATGGGGATGATCTGGCTGAGCTCCTCCAGAGTGTGAACATAACGGATCTTATCCATGAACTTCACACTACAAGAATAAATTAATTAATAAAACTAAAAAACCCCACATCAAATAAAACAACACGCATTTCATGTCACAAATTACACTGTCTGAAAGCATCTGTATCAGTGTCATCAAGACATGGGGGTTGAACACAGCTGTGATAATGTAACAGTCATACTTCTATGTTTTGTGAATGTATGCCAAACCATAGCACTATGGCATGACATTGTAATTTATCTTCTGTCTTCTTTCTGCTTCTTAGATATGTGAAGACAAGGGCTCTCACACCCACTGGTTTCTTTCACTGATTGATCACAAACATATCCTCACCTGATGAAAGGTCTTGAGATGGTGAGGACTGTCCGGATGAACCATGTTGGGTGAGCAATGATGAGACACTTTAGATTCTTCCTCAGTCTGTCGGAAACATTCAGACATACTGTATCTTCACTACATCTTTCTATCAGTAATACTTTCATCACAAATTCCCTTTTATCAACACAGTCTTCATTCTTAGTGCTGACAACATCATTATCATCATTCTTGACTATATTCTATGTCCAAACTGTTTGAACATTTTCTGCCTTACTTCCTGGCAATCATCTGGTAGCATCTCTTCAGCCAGCTGATGCCGGGCATCCTCCTGCGAGGAGTTGCTCCATTGAGGTAAACAATCATGTAATCTTCTGCCACCAGCAGCTCCAGGCTGCTCACAACGTACCTGAAGACAGAATAAATGGGCTCAGATTAGACTCAGGCTGTGCAGAAACATATAAGTTTAAAAACATTATATCAAATACCAAATATGTTCAAATTGTGATTAAGAGTGGATTCAATTCAGATATGAAAATCTTGAATCTTGCAGCCAAAATGAATGTTACACTGATCTATCTTTTATTTCTAGTATTTAATGTCAGTAATTTTATCAAACTTGACTTGACATGTACATTCCATTGAAACATTTTCCCCAGTCACATGATTTGATAGTGAAAAGGTCCATAATGAGGTTTGCTTCTGTAAAAGAGACTCTAGAGAAATAAGAATGGATCTTACAGGAAGAGGTTCTCCATAATGTATGTGTAGTCATCACAGCTGCTGTCAGGAAGGTAACAGGCCGCAAACACAATGATGGCGTTCAAACCCTCTCCGTAATAACCTGACAGAGGAGACACACACTTAGTGCAGTGGTATTGGCATTGACAGCAATATGATATTGACATTTCTCTAAAAATTTGCGTTAACTGCATTAAGTGGGTGACTCAGTCTTTGGAGTTGCCTTACTGAAACACAGGGCCTCTTACCAGTATTAAATCCAAGAAGCACACTGTGTCTAACTAACCTCCATGTGTGACCACCTTCAGGTATGGTCTGATGACTTGCATGTCAATCCGTTGCTCCTGGTCGCCGATGATCACTGTGCGCCACAGACGACCAGATGAGTCTCTCTCTTCTTCGCTTTCACCTGGGAGACGCTTAGCAGTGGCCACAGGAGTGTCATCTGGAAGTGAGGTGACACAGTATAAATTGTTGGTCAGATTGTTTAACTTTCCTCTGGAACTACCGTAACATTTATGGAATTATAAGCATGAGGTAGATTAAAACACTTTTTGTGGTATGTTCTGTTGACTGTTAAAGGTAAGTAGTTGGTTAGTCTGGTAGTTTTTGAGATGATGGTCTAGTTGATGGTATAGTTTTGTCAATGGTATACTGTAGTTGTACTAAAAGATGGAAAACAAGGCAGTATTGGAAACGTGCCCTTAAAAATGAAAAACAACAACATACCCTAGAGAGAACATTTTGATTTGGGGATTTAAGAAAAGCAGCCTTGCTTTTATGGCTTGATTGCAATGGATTTGTCAAGGCAGTCAGTGTTTGCTTTCATCTTTCATTTCTGTTGAACTTGGCAGGAATATGTGGCAGGACAGCCAAACAGAGATAATGTATGGGACTTGATGTGGGGCTTGAAACAATGACACTGCAGGTAATATGAATTACTTCATAAAAAATAAACATGCACACATTCCTCAGTACTAAACATCTAAATATCTTAAAATTTCAATATGATTTAACTTCTGTCGGACCTTCCCACTCCAGCTCATTGCCATTGTTGATCAACTCCAGCGAGTCGGTCTCATCAGGGGTCTCGATGTCATCTATGTTGATGTCCAGGTCATCGGGCGTTTCTAAGAAGTCGTCAGAAAGCACCGACCCCTCGCTCTGATCCAGGGACAGGTTCATGTCGGGGGCGACCAGGGTGCGACGTTTCCGCTGGCCCGCTGACTCTCCCACATTCAGAGTGGTGGGGGGATCTGCACAGGCAGCTCAGAAACTTTAGATACAGTGTAAATATCATATACGGTGCTGTGTATTTATTCTACTTACTGGTTCTATTGTCAGTGAGGCCACATGAAGACTCAACATCTCCATCCTCTGGTAGTGGCCTGCAGAGAAACACACAGAGAGACACACACTTTCTCTTTGGCTTTTTCTTTACCTGCTACCAAGTTAATGGCTGTAAAATTGCCAGTAAAAAAAAAAAAAGTTAACATTTAAATATGTGCTTTGACAAAAATGCTAAAAAAAATAAAAAAATAAAATAAAT